AAATATGATATTCTTTTAGGCATAAATTAACATACAATATCCATTTTGTTCTTCAAATCGAATATCTGCAAAGAAAACACTTGTCTGTTCTTGCAAAAACACTCAACATAATTGACAGTTACATAAAAAATATATTTGAACTTGCACTTATTCCTATAATTATTCATAAATTATGTAACTATAATTACATTAGCGCTATTTTTTCAAGGGAAACAATAGATGCGACCGACCTTTGGTAATATATCTTTAATAATACACGTTTATTAAGCGACTGACGCGAATGACGATTTTGAATGTTTTCTGTCAATGAACAATGGTGACTTTTTAGTCCAAATATTTCGCGATAGGACATAAGAGACAAATAATAATCTATTATCTGTCCTATCATGATAGAATTTATGATTTTGTCAAAGGTTTTACAAAGAATCTGTCATAAGAAGAGAAACATTGATTTGAACTGTTTACGGATTCGGATGACCTTAGTGCTTCGCTGTCACAATATACACTGTATTTGAATAAATAATATATATTTAAGACTGCGAAACGCACATACACTCGCACACACACACACACACTCGCGCGCATGCATGCATATTAAATTATCCATTATTGCTTTTAGGCTATCTACTAAAAAACGAAAATGGTATGGCATGGAGAAGTTGTAGGGAGAATTGAGTCTAATAAAGTAAGTCACGTTTCCTATAGTCCGCCAAATACGGTCATATCTCAGCACACTTTGACCTCTCGGGTCGGCTGCGGATTCCAATGTTTTTGCGCATATTTGCTGCTTCCAGACATGCGAATATGCAGTAGCGCTGCGTGGGCCTGTCCAAATTTCTCCTTGCATTTAGATAGCAACAGCACCTCCATCACAGACCACTGTACTGAAGCTGATGGAAACATTTTTGGTGCAGACAAATCAATGAAATGGTTTGTTGTTTTTATTCGAGTGACCAATGCTTGTTCCAAGCCTTTTTAGGCGGGTATCAGACTGAGGTCAGTGGAATCGAACGAGTAAAGCATTGAAATTTCGAACAGTTTGACTGCAATAAATACTCCATAATCTGAGGCAACCATTAAATACTCAAGCACACGCATTTATAGATTTTTTAAGGCGTGGCTTGTTGGAAAAGGAAAAGCCAAGATATCTCATAATCACACCCCCGGGGCCGAATCAAAGACTTTTTCGATGCTGTCACGAAATGCGTTAAACCATTTACTCATTTTATAAACGTATACAGAGAAAAGATTTCTTTTTCGATTATTCTAATAGTTTAGTAAGTCATATAATTTTATTTGTATCAGTAATTTATTTTGTATGAGCTGAACCAATTGTTTTTCAAGAGTCATGTTGACACACCTAGAGTGATAGGCTTTCTTTATGGTAGATATTTCAAAAGAATATTTGCAACAAACGCAAGACAATATTTACGAGGCGGATATTGAAAGTTTTTAGATTCTGTAAGAAATGATTCCAAAACTATTCTACTGTTCTGTCGGTTGCTTGAGTTTAGGAAGTTGGTTGAACCGAGGAATTTACAACAGCCTCACTACAAGTATATGTTACGGTTGAAAAGGAGCATGCTAGCTACTTGAAGGTAATGTACTTATCTCTCATTTGATTCTTTATGATAAATGAGAAATTAAACAGAATAAAGGAAGATTCATGAATTTGCAAGGTGAAGGTTAAATGAACATAAGCAACCTCGAAGTTTTTTTATTTTCTTTTCTTTTACCTCCTCATATATATACAAGATACGATGCGTAAATTGTCGTCATTTTATATTTTTAATTTTGCGCATGCGCATTGTTTGTTTTTGATTTTGTCGACTGCACAGTATAGTAGGGTCATTTGGGCACCGATTGTGATAAATATATATATATGTGTGTGTGTGTGTGTGTGTGTGAATGATCGAACGAACATGTCAAAAATAGATTTCGATGTTTTTTCAATGAAGTTTTCTTGCCGAAAGATCTTCTATTTCAAGTGATGCAAATGAGGCTGACAGCCAATCATAGCAATGGAGGACTTGGGCGTAATCAAAATTAAACGACGCCGTAAATGTACTAAAATTTTACTGAGTAAATGTACTAAAACATACCGAAATTATGCCTTGGAAATATCTTCGAAATAGGCTTGGTTATCATAGTCGTTGTGATGGGTGGCTGCCACATTAGTTATGTAAATAAAAAAACGTCCGCATGGCCTGCATTTCAGTAAAGTCACATTATCTGCTTGAGTAATATGAAAATGTCCGGCTTTTTCAATAGATTGTGATGAGCGATATAAAATGGATGCTTTGCAATGATGCAGAACGCAACAAATTCTTAAATAAACGAAATTAACCACGCATAACCGTGCTAAAGACCGGTCTTCATTCAAATAAAGTGATTCTGTGTATAGAATTATATTGGGAGGCAGTCCGATACAATGAGCTCTATCCAGAAAACTAAAGGATTGACTAACAAGCACAGCTCCTTATGCGATTAAATGTAGGTACCAACTGACGAAATGCGTTTGAAATGGATGACGACAAAAGGTGTAACATTAGAGAAGAGTAATTACCTGTTACTTTCGTGACTATTTCTTTTTTACTCAACCGTCGTGTACTTGGTTCATCTGAGATGCTACCAAAATAGAATTTGAATTCAGTGGTGCAAGGTGCAGATTTGACCTAAGGGATAACTTCGTAACTAAGGGCGGAGGCCGATGTCATTTGCTGCTCCAATATGTGAATGATCCAGCTGCGTCTGGGATATGCACGCAACAGTATGACAAATATGTAAACACCTATACTAGAAAAATAGGGGGCTCTTACATTTACATGAGAATGTAGAAGGCTTGGGGGACACACACCCACGGGTCGACAGTAATCGACAAAGTCTAGAGTTAAATAAAATCTTACGAATGATTGATCGAGACTTGACTGTTTCAGACATTACGAAAGTAAGAGATTTCCAGACTATTCATGAAGTATTTCCTATGCAGATTCTGTTTTCATTTAAACTTCACTGAATTTCAATTTCTTAAGTTCCCAAGAGCAGCTTTCTGCTGAGACGTGTAAATTAGGTGCGAGGAAAAAATAATGGATTGCCTTAAAAAATAGTGGAACATCGTGAACAAATATGGTAAATGTAACGTTTAATAAGTTCATTTTACAAATTTGCAAAATAATTGATATACCTTTACATTTGAATTCTGAACTAACTTAAGTTCTTCTTAATTCATAAGCCCGGTTTCTATTTCAGCTACAGTTTTCATTTGGAACTTTCCAGTAATTGGAGTGTTATGGCGTTAAGATTTCTTGAAGTTGAAAGTTCTATCTCGTGTCTACGCTTATCCATAGGCTGTTCAATGTGATATGTCTGAAAATCATTTGTTATGCTGTTCTTGTGTCAGCTGTGTATGTGTGTATATATATATATATATATATATATATATATATATATATATATATATATATATATATATATATATGATGGGCCCAAAGTCAGGACCACGGAAGGAAAAACACGGAACACGGATTAGAGGTAAGAAAGATATATTAAACAAAAAGGTTACAAAGATAGTGTAAGTTTAAGCGGAGCTTACTATGTGCTAGTGTCCAATATTGGTAGTCGTACTACGGTATTAGAATACTCTCTCTCTCTCTCTCTCTCTCTCTCTCTCTCTCTCTCTCTCATACTTTATATAGTCCTGGAAGAGTCCATGTTGTAGGTTATGTTACGGTCTCACAACAATATATATAAATTATTTCACATTAGACTCCATGTTTTATTGCTATATAAAATAAATGTTTATTGTAATCTGAATAATGCCGACATATATTCGTTAATTTTTTTTTAAAACTTCAGATAATGAAAATTGCAAATCAACACCGGAAATTGCTAAATGATAGACGGGTTCCAACATTTTCACACTTTTAGGCGTTATTATTACAAGGATGTGTCAAAAAGTCTCAGGATGTGGAGTCCTAAATGAATCGCAAAATATGTGAAACTAATGATCAGGATTCCTTTAAATAACGTTCAGAGAAAATCAAGATAAATATCCAAAGTATTTATAAACAGATCTTTACACCCACGGTTTTTACGGTACTCCGTTGTCCAGAAGAATAAAGCCAAACGGTTTTGCTTCTGGTATGCTCAAGTTTCAGAAAAGAAATGTTTACATTCGTGTTCGCTTATTCACAAGTAAAAATGAAATTTGGAATGCTATTCTGGGTGCAATGCATATAAATGAGGACAATATTTCACAAAAAAACAACGGATAAACGGTGTCTAAAATTAGCTTCAGAATATGGAGTATATATTTGACATGTATACAACGACAGTGTTTTCAACATTTACTTGCTTTTGCTTTTGAAAATTTTGTACAACTGAGGTAACATTTTTACCGTAGTTTCGGTAACCTGGTTAATAAAATGAAACTTCAACATTCCGATAAAATAAATTGTATCCGAATCGTAAGACTTCTAGTATACTATAAGATATTATATATTAGATGAAATAATGTGAACATTAATATAGAAAAAAATTCATTGTAAAAGCTTCATTAGAGTTCTACAAATTAGGCAAAATTGTATTTTTACAATGGTTTATATATATATATATATATATATATATGTGTGTGTGGGGGGGTGTATTTCATTTTTCATACTGATATTCCATTGAATTGTTTAAAATTTTCTTTTATTCAATTTGCTTTCTCTTATGGTACAGAGAGCCCTGGGTTAAACTCGAAACAATGCTTGACCTTAGGGTCATCAGATCATATATATATATATGTGTGTGTGTGTGTGTGTGTGTGTGTGTGTGTGTGTGTGTGTGTGTGTGTGTGTGTGTGTGTGTGTGTGTGTGCCAATGCGTAGGTTTCGCTTTGGCGTGGAAAGGAAATAAACTGGCTTAAATAAGACGTTAGATAAAACGACGACGAGAAAATTGTAGAGGGGGCGCCATTGGATAAACATGGCCGCAAGCAAATCGACCAAGGGAAGTAATTAAGAAGGCGGTTCAGGAAAGAGACAGGCAGACGGTGAAAAATGATTGGTTGAAAAAAGAGGGTAGTGCAAATATAGGGAAAGACTGGAGGCTAGTGGAAAAATATAAGTGAAAAAGATGAAGAAAAAAGTATAACATCGAAAACGAGCGAGACACGAGAGGAAAGAAATTGATTCAACTAATGAAAAGAAATGGTCAGTGAGGGGAAGATAAAAGTCGATAATCAGAAAGAAACGAAAAAGGACAATGAATACAAAGATACTTGAAGGTTATTCTTGTAGTGAGGTCGTATTATTCGTTGTTATCAATTTATGGCCTTGCACCAGAGCAAGTTAAGTATAATAAAAAATGGGTTTACTGTGGTGGAGAAAAAAGGGTTTTAAGTAAATCACGAAGACGATTAAGTTTAAAATGTTAAAAACTTATTGCATCATTTCGACAATGTTACGTTTAATTTAATAAACTGACAAGAAAGAAATTTAAAAGCTGATAGAATGAAGGAAAGAAAGAAAAAATAGTAAAAACAACAAAAAGGAAGAAACGAAATGAATGAGAATGGGCAGTAGAAAGAGAATAATCCAGAAAGAGAAAGAAAGAAGAAATAGAGGAAGAACGAAAGAAAAAAGAAATAGTACGAGAAAGAAAGAGCAAGAAAGGAAAACAGACAATGCAAATGGAATATATACAAATAAATAAATTAAAAGATAACTGAGGGAATGAATATAAGTAAAAAAAAATCAGCAGACAAATTAAAAAGGGAAAATCACAAGAAAGCCTGAAAGAAACGGAATAGATATCATAAGAGTGATCTTCGGAACGACGTAAGTAAAAAGAAAAATGGCTTTTGGATCATGAAAAGAATAAGATGAAGGAAGGAAGGAAGGGAGAAAGGAAGCAAGGAAAGAATGGTGAGCAAACAAATACGCGGTCGGGGTTAGTCACTGCGGCTGCAATACAAAACGAGGCTTTATGACCAGTTTTCTTTGCTCCATTCACAAATCAATAAGAGCAACAAATTAGAAAACATTTCTCGTTTTATTTGTTCTCTCTTTGCTTCGTTGTTTATTGGTTATCACACACACAAACATACATACAACGGTCGCATTATGAGGCAATTGAAGGGGCTCGGGGACGCCTTCCGTGGAACATCAATTATTTCTCACAATAGCTAGCCTTAATTTTTCTTCTAAAACTTGATGATTCAATCAACTCAAACTTAAGGAAGGAGAATAGGCAAAAAAAGTAGCTTCCCCCTCATCCAAGAATTTAGCCAATTGAGCGTTGAGTCGGCGCAGAATCAGGCTGAATACCGCCAGGATAAATCCCTTTCCTCTTCACTCAGTTCAATGTCTAACAATTTCTAACGTTTTCAGCCTTCATAGGTCAGAATGCAACAAGTTCTTAAAAAAACTTAACTATTGGATATTTTTTTTGGTAAGGATCTAAATCTTTTTTTTTTTAATCTTCTTGGGATTAAAGGAAGAAAATTGTAAAATCTTGTTAATCTATATATCTAAATTCACCAAGGTAGTGGAAATAGCCAGAATATAAATATTTTCAGTTAGTTAATATTCTGTTAGAATTTCTGGAAAGAGGAGTTATTTACATGCGGACTATTCTCCCCATATTTGGTGTCGTGATCACAACGTTTCGGCTGTTGAATCCGCTGGCTTTCATAAGTTACATAACGATCCGGATAACGATCTGGAAATTTAGAATTGAATCTTTTAGTTAATATACGTGGTTCACGAAGTAGTATTAAATAAGAACGATACTAGGTAGCCTTGCATATGGGCATCAAAACGAGATGAAATAAAGTGTTCAGTTCGAAATGCCCGGATGGACAATTACCTAATGAGGGCTGGCTACACAACGGCCGAAACGTCGTGATAACCACAAAGATGCCCGCACAAATATTGTCAATCAAACATCAATAGAAAATATTATATAACTCGAGTATCGATAAAAAGCAAATTGTCAATTACATCTGTAAACAATCTTCAGATAACATGAAGACAAGAAAGACCTCATCAATCCGTATGTAAATTGGATAATCGTCAAAACAGAATGTCTCAATGATCTGCCGTTTCAAGAAATGTCATTCGACTAAATCTTTTTCAAGCTACGAACTTTTAGGGATGTTATACTTATGAGGAAGAAAGAAACTAAAAACAAACATGTGAGGCCGGTTACTCGACTCCCTTTAAAAACCACGCATGTACAAATCCATAACTTCTTTTCTACAACAAATGTCATACACTCTCAAAGGTTAAACAAATAGAGCAAAGTCCGATTGGCTACCTGTGGAGAAAATGTGCGAACAAGCTGGAGGGACGACAACAAGCTGGAGACAATGTAATGATTCGGAGTCGAATTATAGATAGACTCATGGTAAGTTTCAGATGGTTTAAAAACGACAGATCAGGAATCCTCTGAATTTTTTAACTATGATTCGAGAAGTCGTACGTTTTCAGAAGGAGAAATCGAAGGGTTTGAATTCGTGTTAACTTTTGTGTTACATTCATTTTCTTGTAAATACCCTTGGGAAAGTTATGAATCCATCTCGGCTTCCACTAACAATAGTAGGGTAGATTAGATTTTTCAATTTTGGTTGTTAACCAGTCTAGGAGGGGGAGAATTCGGGATCCAAAATCCTATATAGCCCTGGATGCAATGCAACTTGTGAAAAGATCGAATTTCGAATGATCCCCTTTAGACATTTAATCAATCACTCAATATTTTGTCAAATAACCTGCTCATTAACGCGCAGATACTTCCGGGAAATCTAATTAGTGTTCTCAAATTGCAGAACAGGTAAGTGTCTTCCCTCCCCTATATATATATATATATATATATATATATATATATATATATATATAGTAAGAGAGAGAGAGCCACGAAAGTAGCAAACTAGTACGTCAATGACTAAGCATCAAAGTTTTGTATAGCGAAGGTTTAAAGAAACTTGACGAATGCTATGAAAAGTATATTGAACTCGGATGAATATGTGGCATGCCATGTTTATTTCATAGCTTCATAGACAGACAGACAGATAATAAAGAGACAGAGTAACTGAAAGGGAAATTCTTAATATCGAAAAATCAAAACTCCGAACATTCTTTTTTTGTCTTATGTTTTACTCTAAAAGAAGGACATTTTGCTCTAAAAGAAGGACCCTTTTAGGTTAGGCATTTATTTCTCGGTCACCGATAACACTTTTTAAAGTCTCTAAACAAGTGGTTCGCCAACGTCAGATGTTTAGAAATGAAGAACACAAAATGGATAACAAATGAAATCCGACGCTCTTCTCGTTTCACACATCTGATTATTTTCAACAACGACGCCTCCTTCGTTAGTTTGAACGCATTAAGCCAAAAGACTTGCTTAAATCAAATACAAGTTCAGGTTTTTTTCCTTAATTAAGGTCCTACTTCTATTATTTAAATTGATTGGGGAGAAGTTTTCGTTTTGAAATTGACTTTTTTTTAGCACCATTTTTATCCACCTGCCATCAAAATGTAATCCTCTTATTAAAAAAATCTTCAAAATAAAATATATTTTTCTGAAATTTTATTTGAGGAATATAAGTTGATTTAAAGCATAATTAATCTGATTTAAAAAATTACAGAAATGCATTTTTAATACGTCGATAGCTGTTTATTTAATCTATTAATCTGCTGGCAGCTTCATGTTATCTAATCTTCTGCGGGAGTTTTATCTGTAAAAAAACAATTGAACAATATAACGTGAGAGCCTTTTATAATTTTTAAGTACTCAGTAATGTGAAAAATTATGAAAATATTCTCCGTAATCTAAAGTTTTATTGACTTTTAGATACTATGGCTTTAAATTTACCGTAGTTATCGGTCTTAGTTTCTGATAATGTCATGTACGAACCGTATCAACAAAAATCGGAGCGTTTATACAATTCAAAATTCTTTTAGAAATACATACCGTCTGTTTTTTTAATAAGCTTTACGATTTGTGATTAATAAATATAGTTTTATTTAACAACATTCCCTAACCATTGAAACTGAATTCTAAAACATTTAAAAACATTATAAATTATTCTAATTAATTTTTTGAATTAAAAATCCTGTAAAAATTCATTAGTTCTTGAAAATGTTTCTTAAGACAATAGTGTCCTTAATATATCTTATTTATAAACGCAATTAAAAGCTTTTCTACTTAAATAACGTTAGTTTTGTTGCTTTTTTTATTTTACGATTCAGAGCAGATTTTTGCTAAGATTGGGTCCTAATTCCACCTCCCACCCCAAAGAAGGCGTTAAATTCTCCAAAGAGTTCAATTTTTAATCAATATAGTCAGTAGAATGTCTCTTTGTATTTCGAATTTTCATAAAATTATAAATGTGGAGTGTAACATATGAAAACCAAGATATATTTTTTATTTTTCAGAGAAGCTTGGTAAAAATAAAAGAAATTCTAAAATAATTACATTCATGTGGGAATAAGTAAAAAAAAAACATTATTAAAATGCTACAATTATTTGATTATTTGGAAATCAATGTCTTTTACTGGAAAAATGCGCTAAATTTTGCTACGCTACTTTATAGTCCATCTACTGAGGCAAGATTTTAAACCAAATTTCGAACGTTCTAAAAATGAAGAAAACATATTGTAATGAAAACAGGACAAGAGATTCTGTCTAGTAATCGTTTATTCAATTAAGAATACTACTACTCATCTGACTTGACAGCGGAAGTATACAGCTTTTATGGCTTGGATTATCTAAGAGGAGATAATCTATATTCACAACACATATTATTAAGTAATGAAAAATACTTTAGTGTTCCTCTTAATAATAACAAACATTTTGACGATAAAATTTAGTTTTTATCAAGTTTGGGACATTTTTTCATCATAGTATGTTCTTTTTTCAGCGAATTAGTGAATGTACCTACTTGAGATTTTTCCACATTACACTCAGTTATGTTGTCACTACGGTGAGATATACTCCCCTCATTTTTTTATCTTAGAACCCATTCCACTGGCAAACTGTGATAAATCCATGTCTGCAACAGATTTGCATTGTCTATTACGTCATGCATATATTATCCAGATTAGTCCAATTCCAAAAACGGAGGAGGGCACAAACTATCCCGTGTATTTATGGTGCTTCCTTCAATATGTTGTCAATGAGCCTGAAAAACGTTCGTCTTTATATTGGCTTATGCAACCAGCTTTTCAAATTTGATTTTTTTTTATTAGATTTTCCAATTTTCGCAATAATATATCTGCATCTTAAGGATATTCACAAAATGTCAACTCTTTGAGATCGACGTGAATTTAGTAGAATTGCTTCCCCAATCTCAGTCATTGCTGACTTTCTGTCGTAATTAAATACGTCATATCTTGAACAGAGAATGTCCTCTATGACATTCACTAACAATGATGCTAGAAATGTTTCCCAGTTTGGAATAAAATGAGATGTACCACGTTTTTCGATCGGGTATAAAAGGAAATCGATCATCATTTTCTTTGACAACTACAACTCGCTTTTGAGAACTTTCAAACATCCTTTGTTTTCTACATTCGCTGATATTAATTAACAGTGAAAATTAATTGATTATACAAATCAGTTTTGAAAGTATAAAAATGTACATGAATATTCGAATGATATACAATGCTTGAGAGAGAGAGAGAGAGAGAGACACACACACACACAGACAGACAGACAGACAGAAAGAAACAGAGAGAGGCACACACACATAGACAGGGAGAGAGAGACACACAGAGAAAGAGTGACACAGATAGGTAGAGAGAGAGACACACACAGA